AGCACCACATAAAAATAAATAAATTAATTAAGGTATCGTGTCCAACTACAACTAAAAAAAATAAATACTTCAAGAAAAAAGTGTTGACTCTTTTTCTTTTTTGAAAATGCCTCTTTTGAGATAATGCTTTACAATGCCTTCTACAAATAAAGACTTTTGCACCCAGTGAACCACTGTATATGCTGTTTCTATGAGAGCAAGCAGTGATTACAAGAAGAACATTTCTCCTTTTGGTTCTCAGAACCACTGTTCCACAATTGCTTGAGGCAGTATCACAGCATCCTTGAGTCAGGCTCTTCTGCCGAAATCTGCAACATGTACCAGCAGAAGTCAGGATAGTTGCTGTGGACTTGTGTGACCTGTTCCCTCATGCCTGCCTTGGATCACCAAACTGATCACGAATCAGCCTTTGTCCTCCTAAGGATCACACAACCTGTATCAACTTTGAGAAACCTAACTGTGCCATTGCTTAATTTCATTAATCAAGTGAACTGGTTCATGTTATGTGGATGTGTTTGTACATGTGGCATGTATACATAAGCGGAGAGAAATGTTTACAGACTGTAAAAACACAAACTTGAAAAGATAACTAGGTCTCAGGGAATAGAAACTAACATGCCCAAACCATGAGTGACTGTGGGGAAGTTGTCACATTTTCCTCCATATAAGGCAGCTCTGACAAGATCAGTTTCTTTACTCCTGTGAATAATTCTTGGTGGGTCATTTAATTAGGCCTTTACAAAATAACAAAGAAATTAATAAGAAAGTTGGGTATTAAATTAAAGAGATGGAAAAAGAATTATCTCTCATTAAGAAAGAGCAAAGCTATTTTCATACTGTTAAACAAATGAACTGAAATGTTTTGTTGAGTTAAATACAGGTTTAGTTAATTCACACAAAAGTACCTTGGAAAAATAAGGATTATTTTTTTTAGTAGAAGCGTTATTCTCGAAGAATATTCACGAAGAAGAAAAAATGTAAATGAAATCAAATTGGAAGAGAAAATTAATACATACAATTGCTACAATAGGCCAACTAATATTCATCTCAAAACTCAGTTATGAGAACTATATGAAAGCCAAACATACTTTTATAAATACAAGAGAGAGTGAACAGAGTCACTTTCTCTTCATACTTGAGCCAAGATCCCCTAGTGAAGAACATGCTCAAAATAGTACAGAAAAAAGAGATGGGCAGAGAAAAAAGGTTTGCCAATTTTCTACCCATTCTCAAACATACCAGCTTCTGAACCTGAGGTAGGAATGGAACATGAAAATCCTTCCAGATCATGTCTAGACACACTTCTTTTTCCTTTTTTTCCCTCTTTTTTTGGCATTGGGAATTGAGCCCAGAGGTGCTCTACCACATCCCTAGCCCTCTTCATTTTTTTTGTTTGTTTTTATACAGGGTCTTGCTAAGTTACCCAGGTTAGCCTTGAACTTGCCATCCTCCTGCCTTAACCTTTTGAGGTGCTAGGATTACAGATGTGTGGCACTACACCTGGCCAGCCTCCTTGTCTTCTTCTTCTTCTTTTTTATTTTATTTTTTTTTTGTCTCAGACCAGAGTTAGCTAGTTTTCAAAATGACATGGCTTTCAGGTACACAGATCTTTCTCTGCCCTCCCACACTCCTCATAGCACAGTGTCAAGAGTATAATTATCTGCCCATGGCAGATAGCCCCAGCTTGCTTGCTTATGAATTCCCAAACCCCATGGAAACCAGGCCAAAAGGACCTAAAAAATTAGAAGGGAGTGCATTTCAAAAACAACCTAACCAAACAAGATTATCTTTGTATATATTTTGCCAGCACTATGCCTGTGCTCAGGAGATGATGAAAAGCCTTATTATCTGGGCTAGCTCTTACTTAAAGGAATTTCTTCCCCCATAAAACACATAATTGAAACTAAAAATCTTTCAACTAGGTGACCATATTTTTGTAGAATGTGAAAAAAAATGTCATGTTATATCACCTGGTAGGTATACCCTCAAACTTCCAAGGTACAAAGTGACTATGGGAGAGGATGATTCATATTGTTCATATATGCTTAGAGAAGGTTTATAAACCCACCATAGACTTTGATACAGCATCAGTCATTAGATACCTCATCCTGACCCCAGCCTCAGATTCATCTTCTGAATCCTGAGTTTCAGTAAGAGTGATCTCTAAGCCATACTTGGAGATATGGAACAGAACTCTACTGAGAAGTGAAAAATCAAATTTGTCAAGGAGAAAAAAAAACCTTTTAGCTGGGTTTGGTGGAAAATACCTGTAATCCCAGTGACTTGGGAGGCTGAGATGAGATAATCTCAAATTTGAGGCTAGCTTCAGCAACTTAGCAAAACCCTGTCTCAAATTTAAAAAAATAAAACAGAAACTAACTAAGGCTGGGGGTGTCCCTGAGTTCAATTCCTGATATCACAAAGAAAAAAAATCAAAACACAAGAAGAAATATCTCTTTCCTGTATTAAACAATTTCCCTCCAAAGAAACAAAAGAGCTAACAAAGTATCCTTGAAGGAGAAAAATGAGGACCCAAAAGGTAACATCTTTAAAAAGAACTTCAGTTTTCACACCAAGATTCCGCATCACTACATTGATGACGTGCAGAAAACAATTTCCTGTGGGTTGACTGAGCAAAGGTACACAGTGCCTCACACGTGGAGAAAGAGCCTGCGTCAGCAACAGCCCTGCTCATGGAGCAATGGCTGAGCACACCAACAGAAATAAAACGATCACTGGTGTTGACTACACACCAGGCCAGCTACTTGACCTGCACTTTATCACTTAGCTCTCATAGCAACCATCTGAAATAGGCATTTTTATTTTCCAGCTTAAAGATGAGGGGACAGAAGCATCCAGAGGCTAAGTAACTTGTCAAGCTGATCATATGGAGGCTAACACAGCTAGCAATAGGCAGAGTCAGGAGCCTTAGAGCTTTCTGCCTCTTCCCCTTAAGCAACATTGCCTCCCTGTGTTCAGAGATGACTGACAGTTCCCTCACAGGTCTTCACAGCCATTTCATACTCAGACACCCAAAGAAGAAAGCCATGGTTAATTCAAACCACATGGAAAAACACCATTATTAGAATCTATCACACTGAAGGCAGAATATCAGTGTGAAAAATAAAGTCCATAGTAAATCGTGTATCAATTCTTCATGTCTTAAGGATTGAGTGCTGGGTTTTTGTTGTTGTTGTTGTTTTCTTTGTTTTTTAGTCCAGGGATTGAACTCAGGGGCACTCAACCACTGAGCCACATCCCCAGCCCATTTTGTATTTTATTTAGAGACAGGGTCCCACTGAGTGGCTTAGAGCCTTGCTAAGTTGCTGAGGCTGACCTCGAACTTGCAATCTTCCTGCCTCAGCCTCCCAAGCCACTGGGAATACAAGTGTGCACCACTGCACCCAGCAAGTACTGGTTTTTTGTTTGCCAATATATTTGTTATTCAGGTTTCTCAAAAACCTGAGATAATCAACATATAAAGAGAAAATGTTCAGGCTGGGGGTGTGGCTCAGGAGTAGAGTGTTTGCTTTAGCACGAGTGAGGCACGGGGTTCAATCCTCAGCACCACATAAAAATAAATAAATAAAATGAAGGTATTGTGTTCATCTATAACTTAGAAAGTATTTTTAAAAAATAGAAAAGATATAGGCTTTAAAACTGTTAAGGATATCATGACAGGACTCAAATTTGTTTTTTGACAAAACCAGAGCTGAGAATAGCTTGTTTGAATCATTAAAAAATAATTAGCCTTGTAAACTTATCCAGTTGAAGCTCACATCTTGGCACCGTGAAGTTCTGAAGGACACTTTGACAGAAGGAAGGAGGGAGATATCTGTTATAATCCACACCTCAACTTTCTCCTCCCATCCTCTGATCTCTTCAATAGCAGTAACTTTTCTCTTAGGCTTAAAACTTCTGAAACAGCTCTGTGCTCTGTCAATTGCTAACTACTTTAATTCTATCTCTGCATTTTTTTCTGTCTTCCTTTTGTTGCAACTGCCTACATCCCAATTCAGCTCCTTCTTAACTCTTGCCTCTGAAGTGGCTTCTTTCCCTGCCCCCAGTTCTTCCTGCTCTATCATATTAAGCCAGAGTTTATCTTCTAAAGCACATCAGTCTGTTAACATAAAGCACAGATCATCTTCAAAACCTCCAGTAGTTTCCTATCACCATGCCAGAAACAAGAAAAACAATACAAACCAAAATGAAAAGCAAAACACACTTGTCAGTTTGGCCTTAAAGGTCTTTCCCAATCTGACTTCTGTTTACTTTTCCAGACAACATGGTTTCCCAATATCCCAGCTCCCACCCCCATATTCTCTTCTGCAGCCACAGAAGACAATGTAGCATCTCCCTCAATGCCTTATGTTCTTATTCCAGACAATTCTCTGCTTCCAGGCCCTTATTGTGATCTGACATGTAAGTCCCACGAAGCCAGAAACTTTGATGCACCAAAAGTATCCCCAGTATCTCAGCATGCCATAAACATTTGTTAAATGAATGAGTGAATAAATGATGTTCTTCCCGCAGAATGTCCTTTTCTCCTATTCATACCTGTCTAGGGACTATCATTTCCTCTGTGCATGGTTTAAATCATTCCTTCTCCACAGTGCTTCCCCACTGATCCTTACCTGTCAGTCTCTTGCCTGTCTGCTCCTGTGTTCCAGCATGTTTATTGGCTGTCTCACATCACACGCCCTCTTGCCTCTGGTCCTCCTGATAGAAAAGCCTCTGGATGGGAGAGTGTGTGTCCAAAGTATGGACTCTGGCACTTAGTAGGATCTTATACAAAGCATCATGTATCTAATTGAGCTTTATTAACAATAGTCAGGCCATCCAATACATTCCTGTATACCAGGGTTTTATCTATATGAGATTTTTATCTGAAGGGACAAAATGGGGAGAATATATATAATATATGTAATAAAATCAGGGATCAGTAAACATTTTTCCCAAAAGGGCTAGATATTAAATTCTTTAGGCTTTGGGGGCCATAATGTTTCTGGAAGGCCTAAAAAATATGTAAACCAATTGGCATGGCTGTATTCCAATAAAACTTTATTTATAAATGCAGGCAGTGGGCCGGATTTGGCTCATGGGCCCTAGTTTGTAGATGTTGTGTTAAATCTTAACATCAAATTAACAAAAACAATGGCTGCTGTGTCCTTTAGCTTCTCCTTTCACTAAGGTAGGCAAAATGCTGTTTCCAATTATGATCAGAACGCAGTTGTTCATGAAATTCAATAAAGGGCTTCTCAATGTTCACATCTATATTCCTGTTAGGGGGATACAAAAATAAATATGTGAAAAGTCACTTGTGAGGGTCTAGTACATAAATATTTGGTATTTTCTAGTATCATTTCCTTCCTATTTCCCAACTGATATCTTGCTGAGTTTTAAACGTCTTATTAAAAATAGATCATTTCCAGAGCAATTATATATAAATGTATCACTTTCCCCTTCTATAGAATTCCTTTCTAATTGAGAGGGGAAAGCACACAAAAATTAGAATGCTGAATTGAATATTCATTATAGTCTTAAATACATGACAAATGTTTATAACTTGCTAAGTGAATATTCTTTTAGTATTGTAGAGAAAAAGTTTGTTTCAATAGAAAACTCTGGATCATTTTCTGGATTATCAGATTCCAGTCCTATTCATTATCTTTGAAGTATAATGCATCTCTGTAAATTTCAGGAAACTATAGATATGAAAACTCTGATATATGATGGAGATTTAATTGACTCTCACTTCCTCTGAAAAAACCAGTTAGGGTTCCTAACTGTAAAATTGGACTGATTCTGTGAACTTACTCAGAGTATCAATTTGTACCAAATTTTCAGTCATTCTAGTTTTCTTCAATATCTCTGTACATTTCTCCAAACTAACATTCCCAATTTTTCTCCCTCATGTTTTACTCAGCACATCACCAAGAACTAAAACCTGACGGTCCTTATCCCTATTGTAACATTGGTCCTCTTTATTTATACTTTTGAATGTAGCCCTTGCTACTCTGCGGTTGTGACTTCTTTCTTTAAATGGACATGTTTCTTTTTCTTCCTCTCTCCTTGCTCCTCCCTATTCTCCCCTCCCTAATCTTAGGAAACAGTATTACCTTTCTTTTCCATCCCAGGCAGAATTATCTGTCCTTGAGCACACACCCACCACAGTAACAAAGTAATTTAGACTTTGGGGATGGCGCCAGAAGATCTAAGAAATCTTGACTATCTCCCAAATTAACAAGTGAATTACAACCCTAGACAGGGAACACCTGGAATGTAGCCTTTGAATCACCTCTATAAAAACCCTGTTCCCCTTGATGGGGAGAATCACAGACGCTGCCACAGGAGTCCCCTATGTTTCTCCTTTGCTGGCAAAGAAATAAAACTTCTTTTTCCTTTTCCACAAAATCTTATCTTCATTATTGGATTGGCATCAGGGAAGAGGACTGAGCATTTGGTAACACTATGGAGACTCTAGGATCCCTTATAGCTGGCCTTTTCCCCAGAGCCCGAAAAAAAAACCTTGAAAGTTAAATACTGAATGTGAGAAACATGTTCACCTGTCCAAACCCAAAGAATGGACTAAGAGACACAAAGTATAGCAAAAAAGCAAAGCTTTACATTAATGATTGTCTTGCAAGACTGGATGTCTGGGGGAAGTGGGCACACACAGATTGGGTACAGTCAGCACTTTATCCTCTAGAGTACAAGATCCCTCCTCATTGGCTAAGTACTATGGGGTGTACAGTCTTTCTAAAAAATACCTTGGCTTAACAGTCTCTATTGGGTTATTTAAAGAAATATAACTTTAGTCATTCCTACCTCCCTTTGTTCTTTAGTGGTGGGAAAGCTTTCTTGGGGTGAGTGCATTCTGACACAGACACAGCTCTTACTTCTTTTTGGCAGGTGGATAGCAGAAATTGAACTCAGGGGCACTCAACCAGGGGCACTCAACCACTGAGCCACATCCCCAGCCCTATTTTGCATTTCATTTAGAGACAGGGTCTCACTGAGTTGCTTAGGGCCTTGCTTTTGCTGATACTGGCTTTGAACTCATGATCCTACTGCCTCAGCCTCCAGAGCCACTGGGATTACAGGCATGCACCACTGTACCCAGCTACACAGCTCTTACTTTTTACCTAAGTTACTATTTCTCTTTCTTAAAATATTTTTAGTTGTAGATAGACACAATACCTTTATTTTATTTATTTATTTTTAAATGTGGTGCTGAGGATCCAAACCAGTGCCTCACATGTGCCTGGCAAGTGCTGTAACACTGAGCTACAACCCCAGCCCTCCTAAATTACTGTTTCTTAACAGAGATATTTCTGTCTCTGTTGGTTAGGCCAACTCCTTCTCCCACCTCTTATTTATCAGGGAGCTATTCAGGTGCATGGACTTTGGATCTTCCACATCCATAGGCTATGGTGTTATTGTGTGAGTTAACTGCTTGCAACTTTTCATTATGCTCTATTTCCTCTCTAGCTGTCTTCCTTACATCCCAATCTTAGGTTTAAGGCTAAATATTGTATTCTGAAAATGGATCACTGGAATTTATATTTCTCACACTGAAGACTTGGTTAAAAAAAAAAATTCAAAAGATTCAGTATCATGGCAAACCTTACATGAATGCATGGGCCAGAATCCTGACTTAACAAGCCATTGTCTGGAACACTAATTAGTCTGAAGAAATACATGTCCAATAACCTGTAAGGCTGAGCGAACATAGGAGGAAGAGACCACCAAGAGACCAGCTCATGCAACAGCAAAAGGGGATTTATTGAGGATCCAATCCAGTGCGCTGGGGCTCCAGGCTCACTCAGGAAGAGAGAGCAGCCAAGAGCCCAGAGCAGGGGTTGAGCAGTGCTTAAGTACACTTTTTGGGGAGGGCAGGGGCTTTGCATAAATCAGAACAAATCAGCATGAGGTGTGGGAAAATTGAACAACAACTCTCAAACATATTAGTCCATTCATTGGTGGGAACAGGTCGGGCAGGGGTGATAGGTCAGTCCTAAGGAGGGGAGTACATTCAAACTGATTGGTTTGGGCCCTGAGATGCCTACATGCCAAGCTGCACAGGGTCCTAGTGAAAAACCAGCCTCTATCTCAAAGCAAAGCCTGTCCAAGAAAGGGACATGGCCCTTGTCTTTGGAAAAACCCACAGAGCACTCCTAAGCACATTCCCACCCTGCTAAGTTGTTTGTTTATCTACAAATAACAGGAGAGATCTGCTGCCCCAGGTGTCCCTGACTCAGTCAGGCTAGGTGGAGATCCATAGCAACCCCCTAGTAGCCACCAATCAGCATGAGACAGGGAAATACCTGGGATGCCAGATGACCCTCCCAGTAGTTTATGGTGGTTGATAACATGTTGGGAAACCATGTAGTTCAGCACGTACACCCCTCTTGGCTTAAACCAATCAGTTCAAACCAATACCCCTTTTTGACTGACCTATCACCCCCGCCCGACTTGTTCCCGCCAGTGAATGTGCTAATCATGTTTTAGAGTTGTTATTTGATTTTCCCACGGTGTGTGATGATTTGCTATGATGTATGTGAAGTCCCTGCCCTCTCCAAAAAATGTATAAAAATGCTGCAAACCCTGGGCTCGGGGCCTCTCAGCGTCACCAGTTGCTGTGTGTGTGCACGGAGGACCAAGCTAGCTCGCAATAAACACCTCTTTGCTGCTTACATCAATCTTGGGTCTCTGGTGGTCTTTGGGGGTCCCGAATTCAAGCATAACACTAGGTTATTAAACAACTAAATGGTCAGGGGGAATATCTACTGGGAAGTCCTGGGAATTGTCCTAACAGCTACAGGAATTCCAGGTTTTGAGTGTAGCATAGGAACTTAACAATACCTGGTCCTTTACATTTTAACTCAGGCTTTGCAGCTTAGAAACTTTACCCTTTCAAACCAAGACTGTAGACATCACTAAACATGGACAACCTAGCTGGAGAGCTTCAAGAAAGTCAATGAGCTGTGCTGCCTAACCAACCAGTGCTCACATAATTTTGGCCTCCAGAGGGGGTGCCTGCAACAGTATTCAAAAGTAACTGCTATATATTTTATTTCTCCAAACTTCTCTGACATCTTAATTTCTTTCAAGATGCCAATGAAGAAACTTCCTGAATATCTACCATTCTCTTGATCCCTGCGCTAAATATATTTCTCCATCCACTTCTTGGAATTCAGAGTGTAAGAGTAAAAGAAATTGAAGTTAAAGTGTAAAAGACCGGGCATTGTAAAGTTTCTAAGCTGCAAGGCCTGAGTTAAAAAGTGAAGGACCAGGTATTGTTAAGTTCCTCTGCTACACCCCAAACCTGGAATTCCTGTAGCTGTAAGGACAATACCCGGAACTGCCCAGTAAATATTCCCCCTGACCCTCTGGTTGTTTAATAACCTAGGATCCTGTGTAGCCTGGCACATAGGCATTCAGGGCCCAAACCAATCAGTTTAAATGTGTACCCCACTTAGGAGTGACCAATCACCCCCGCCCGACCTGTTCCCGCCAATGAATGTACTAATCAAGTTTAAGAATTGTTGTTCAATTTTCCCGCGCCTCATGCTGATTTGTTCTGATGTATACAAAGTCCCCACCCTCCCCCAAAAGTGTACTTAAGCACTGCTCAACCCCTGCCTGGGGCTCTGGGCTGCTCTCCCTTCTTGAGTGGGCACGGAGCCCCAGTGCGCCCCAGTGCGCTAGAATGGATCCTCAATAAATCCCCTTCTGCAATTGCATGAGTCAGTCTCTTGGTGGTCTCTTCCTCTGACGTTTTGCCGGACCCTTACAAAGGAACTAGTTACCGGTGGGGTTCACATCTTAGCTTTTTAGGTTAGTATAACGTTTACTTTTATATCAATGCTTTTCTCTATTCACTTTAGGCAACACTCTTAAAAATATCTGATCTCTAGAACCCTAAAACAACTTACCTTTACCACCACCTCTCAACAGATGGATCCACAGGTTTTACAGGGACAGTGCTGTAGAGGAAATTTTCTCTCTACCTTTCATTGTTCTTAACTGGGACTCCCTGTAACAAAAGATGGATTAACGAAAGCAAAACAGGAGTTTATTATCATGTAAGTCTTTTGTGTAGAGGACAGAAAACCCAGAGAAATGAGTAACTCTTTAGAGTGGAGCTCAGAATTTCGACTTCAGGCTTCAGTGCCATCATTTTCTGAAACAAAGAAAGGGTGTTAAGGAAAGGCCCTGCTAAGACGAAATAGCCAGCAAGTCTTGGCCTTAAACAAAGGTAAGGTTTGTTGTGCAGATTAAGTCATGCCTTCTCCATTGTTTAGGAGTCTGTGGTGATTTAATCATCACACAGTAAGGGAGAGACCCTTACAAATGGAGATCTCCTTTATACATGTAAATTTCTCTCACAAAAGCGTCATTTTCCAGAGCTTCTCCTATGGCTGCACTTGCTCTAAATAACCAGCTCCAAACAATCAATATGCCAAAGAGGCATATTTTGAGGTAGAGTGTGTCCTGAGGTTCAATAATTCCAATAAGAGTCCTGGAAAGATTATTTCTTAGATCCAGCCTCCCCTACTCCATTGGTTTATGAGAACTGATTTGTGAAGCAATTTATGATGCTCATTCTGAACAAAAAGGTGAGGCTGACTGCACTGAATTTTGTCTGAGCTTCATGCTTCTAGAATGTAGCAACATTTAATCAATTCTCCACCTTTTTATATTTTAGGAAATAGTAAATGTGAAGGACCACACTGATATTGGTCTTGGGAGATTATATCCACCTCTACCTTTTCTCTGAGGTCCTCTTGACTTCCATAAGACTCTCTGCCCACCTTTCCCATGATTTCTTTGCTTACTTGCCTCTGTAAAACCTCAGGTGTTCTCCTTCTCCTTTGATGAAGAATTAATTAATGAACATTCTCCCTGTTGCAATAGCCTGAATAAAATCATCTCCTTGATTGTTCAGTGCACTTTGTCTTTGACAGTATTTTTAAAATTTCTACAGTGAGCATTTATTATTCTTATAGCAATAAAGAATTTAAATAGCACAAGAGATCTTTTTTGTGTGAGTTCCTTTTAGAGGGTGTTTGGGGCTTTCTTTGATCAAATGATATTTTTCCAGTGGAAGAAAAAGAGCAAATAATTGTAGAGCTTTGTATCAGTTACAACTATGGTTTGTTTCCCAAAGGTTCATGGTCTTCAATGTACTCAATGTAACAGCATTGAGAGGTGGTAGGACTTTTAAGAGGTGGGGCCTAGTGGGAGGTGATTAGGTCATGGGGGCTCTGCACTAATGTCCTTTTCTACAGACTTCGTTAGTTCTGTCAAGACTGAATTAGGGTTTAGAGGAGTGAGTTAGATCTCACTGAACTGGATTAGTTACTATAAATATGGGTTGTTATAAAGCAGGTCAGCTTCTCTTCTATCTCTGTCTCATACACATGCCTCTCTTCCATAGGCACTTGCTTGTTCTTTTGCTTTTCCACCATTTATGGAACAACATGAGGCCCTCGCCAGGAGCTGACCAGTTGCTGGTGCCATGCTCTTAGACTCTAAGACTGTGAACTACAACAAACCTCTTTTCTTTGCAAACTATCCAACCTATGGTCTTTTATTACAGCAATACAAAACAGATGAACACGTTAACTTTGCATACTTTGTTTTGGTGACAGCTGTGGTTGTAGATATTATGATCTCTATTTTTCTGATGAGGACACAAGTTCAGGAACATAATGCTTTGCTGTGCTAGACATAAGCTGAATTGGTACTAGCATTATTTGTATCTCCTTCTATGTTCTCCTGCTTTTCAGGGATTAGACATCTAGGAATCACATTTTCCAGACTTCCTCATCAGCAGGATTCTAGATTCTGGATTCATTTTGGATTCCCTAATGAAAAGCATTTCACAAGATTTGGAAGATATCATCAGACAGACCTATATGCTTCCAGGCATTTCTCTGCTAATTATTCTCCCTGATATTGTTGCCAGTGGTGACCATTATCACCTGCAATTTTTCCTTTAGAAATAACTTTCTGAGTCTCTCAAAACTAGCAGTGAGTATAACAGCTAGCAACCTTCCCTGACCTTCACTCCTCTAGCCTTCCCAACAAGCACATAAATCTGTTATCACATTTTTTGTACTGAGGCTTGACCCAGGAACTCTCAGAAGCTGGGCAAGCACTCTACCACTGAGCTACATTACCAGGCCTTTAAAAAAATTATTTTGAGAAAAGTTTTCACGAAATTACCGAGGCTGGTCTGGAACTTGCAATCCTCCTGCCTCAGCCTCCTTAGTAGCTGGGGTATAGTCATGTACCACCACTCTCAGCTGTCACCCCTTCTGAATGAAATACTAAGAGTAATTTCTGTTTTGTTATCCTAACTCTGACTGGTATAAGGTACGTGATATTATACACTTTGTGAATACAGAGATAAACTTGGTCCAACTCTGTTTAAGTCCATAGCGCAAGTTCTTTGTCTATGAAGGATACAAGAATATGCCACCCCAAAATATGCCTCTTTGGCACATGGATTATTTTGAGCTAAAGGGTACTGAGAATCAGCAGATGCAGGAATAGATGTCTACCTCCCCCAACCTACCTAAAATAAAGTATAGATTTCCCCCTTTTAAAGGAAGTTTGCATTTTAAAGAAAAATTCCAATAAAAAATATCTTACACCAGGAAAAGAATCACTCAAGGAAGTAACTGTATCATCAGGATTTCATCTGCATAACAAAGAACCTTTATTTATCATGCATTTCCTCCTCACCCCTTTCCATAATTTGCTTCACCCTCTCCTCCTCTAGAAGCATAAAACCCCATTTCCTTTGTTTAATCTAAAATAAGCCTCAACTAAGCAACTCTTTGGGTCTCATTGCTCTGTAAGACTCACTCTTTTTTTTTCAGTACTCCCATATGTATGTAATTAATTTTTTTTCCTTCTGGTTAATCTAACTTTTACCAGTTTGATTTACAAACCTCAGCCTATTAAACCTAGCAGGGTAGAAAGAAAAGGCTATTTCTTCCCCTTGTCTACTACCTCTCTGGCTCACCTCCATTTACCTGCACTGCAGATTTTCCATCCTGGAATGACTTCATGAAGGCTCCTCAGTTCTAAGGGTCAACTCAGTGAAGTCTTGAGAGCAGGAAGGGAGATGAGAGAAAGCAGGAGGAGAACTCAAAATGTAACCCAACAGAGTGAAAAAACACATTCTGTAGCTATTGGAAACATGAGAAGTGTCAGAACAGAATTGGTAAATGGTTATTCTATGTGATATAAAACAAACATAAAAAGTTTCATCAAGTGATGCCACAATAGAGCCAGTATCTAGTTTATGTAACCTGAATCTTACCCAAACCTTCTTCCACCATCATGAAGGGCCTGCTGTGTCTGCAGGGAAGGAGAGGGCTCCAGGCCAATTTGGAAGTGGTCAAAGTCGGCCCTTTGGCTCCAGTCCACCAGTTCTGACATCAGCTCCCCCTTTTCCCTCCTCAGTTCCCACCCCACCCATTCTTGATGTCAATCTCATTAATCCCTGTTAACTGATCAGTATTTAAAATGTGACAGGCTCCCAGGATATTTGAATTTCAATACCCAAGCAAAGCCTTCTCCAGCTCACTCCCCCCACCCTGCTCTTCCATTTTATATATATATCTCAAAACCCTGATTTAGCCCACACCCACAAAACTTAACATAGACACTATTCCTGTTAAGATAGGAATCTACTCTTTCCTTGGAAATCTTCAGAGAGAGTTCCCTCTGCTATCAGGTTCTAGTTTGAAATATTTTAGACATAAAACATGGGGGTTACTACTAAGCTCTTATCACATCAAGGTAGAAAAGGATTTCCTAAATGCACAGCTATAAGGTCTTTGGTCTCTCTGTTCCTGTAAATGCATAAGGACTGGTGTCAGGGAATTTAAAAAAGCAGGAATGCTTTAAATTTCCTCCCCTGTTTGCAACTTCTCCAAGATCAAGTAGGTTTCAGACTGGTATCAGACTGCAAAAGGGAGTATATAGCATACATGTGAACACACACACACACACACACACACACACACACACACCCTCTTTTCCACCTCCAGTCTTTATCAATTGTGTTATCTAAAATTACATAAATATTGAATCTTCCCATACACATATCACTATGCTCAAATATATTTAGGTTAAATTTCTAGCTGCTATCAGCATTAGGGGGTGCAGTTAAAGATGGCCCCTAAGGTGAACCTCACCAAACCCTCTCCCCTGATGGATGAAATCTTTGGTAGTTTGAATCATTTCCACTTCAAAAGGGTTTTAAGAGATGCTTGCTGGTCTCCTCTGACAAAAGCCTTTTGAGCCTTTAACAGAGTGTTTTATTTCTTCAAAGATCAAAGTCACACAACCCCATGAATAAGTGAATTCAAGATTAAGGCATTCAAGTTCACTCTAAAAATCTAACCTCTGGCCCAAATTGGGCTCTCGATTTAACAATTTTTTTTAAACTTACACTGAATTTTTTAAAAAAAAAAAAACATGCCTGCCTGCAACTCTCCCTGCCTCTTCTTTCTCCTTTGTTGTGTCTTTTACCACATCCCACAACTACATTTATGATTTCCTTTGTTTGCACCCCAGAAGTATAACCTTTGTTAGCAATCGTAAGACTAAATTCTCCCAATTCTAGCCCATATATGAGATCATTTAACACCCTGTGAATTTTTTACATATGATGTTTAATATTCAAGTAGAAAATTGAAGCTCAGTGACATCAAAGGTTTCATTCAAAAAGTAGCAACATCACCAGGTGTGGTGGCATGTGGTTGTAATCCTAGCTACTCAGGAGGCTGAGGAAGGAGGATTGCAAGTTCAAGGCCAGCATCTTAGTGAGACCCTGTCTCAAAATGAATGATAAAAAGGGCTATGGATGTAGTTCAGTGTTAGAGCACACCTGGGTTCAATTCCCAGTATCCAGTACTGAAAAAGAAAAAATTTTCAAAGGAGGATAAGAATCAGTACATCTGATTCCAATATCAGCACTTATTTAAGGAGTTTTTCAACAAATATTAATAAATGACTCCAAGTCAGGTATTATACTAGACACTGGAAATACTATAAGGAGATTGGCAGTTAACTCATGGACTCACTACCAACATTTACTCTAGTTGTCTCTCACTCATTTCACATCTTTTATTTTAAGGCAAAGTAAATGTTCAATACATACTTGCTGAGTCAAATTGAAAATGCACTATTGCACACATGAAAGATGAATCAGATGGCCAGTGGTTAGATTCTTGACTGAGTAGATATTTGTAGGGTATATCTGTTGAGGGATGAGTTTAAAGCTTAGGGTTTATTTATTAAGCAGAGAGTGACAGAGTCTTTCCTTGACCAAAGCTTAGTCAGGCTCCTCTGAATCTTCTTCCAAACTAAGCCTCAACCTTTGGGCTTCAATGTGCTTCTCTGTGTCACCCAACCTTAGCAAGGATACTGTTAAGTCAGCTTATCCAGAACTCTCATTCCTCATGTGAATCCCTCAATATCTGATGGGGTTCCTCATCTCTCAGTATTCCCCAATTGGTATCTGATGATTATGGCCTGTTTTCAATAAGAATGTTGGTTTAGACAGAGTCCTCCTGATGGTTCCTCTTAGTAATTTGCCATCCACTGGCCCTATCCTACTGCTTAACCACACATTCTCACTATTCCTTGTTATATTTGGAATTGAGTCCAGTTCTATACTGAGGTTTCTTTTCTTCTATTGCAATAGTGGTTGCCACTTTAACTATGACCAGTTCTGGTTTGTCTTTAACAATAACAGAAATAAATCTTACATTCATTCCCAGAAGTTCATCCTAGACTAAAGATTATGGTCTCTGCTTTCTTTACTACTAGAAGTCTGGTCTCCAAACAGAAACCAAAGGAACCTTGCAATCATACAAACTGTGATAGTCCGTTTTCCATTGCTATAACAAAATACCAGAAACTAAATACCCTTCTTCATTTCATTTTGCTTTCTTCCCTAAGCTAAATATTTCATAAAGAAAAGATTGGTTGTCTTTTGTGGGTGTCAGAAGGCACAGAGAGAATACCATGCAGGCTTTAGGATTCTTCATGAGCACAAATTAGTGGAACACTGCCTGCCCACCTCCAAATGCTCACCACCTCCCTACCAAATGCAAATTTTGTATCCAATTACACTGTTGCCAATTTCTGCTTCTACTATTTTGTATCTCAGCTAAAGAAGATGAGGAAGTCTACTGTCTACTGTGGGCAGGTGTTGGAGAAGTCCCCACTATAGGAGAGAAATTTTGGCATCTGGCTGGGCTACAACTCTCACAGCAGCACCCACAACATGTCCTGGGAGTACTGTGACCTGACCACCACAGAAGCCATCATCCAGTGCTACTGAGATATGGGTGCATGGCACTTGTCCCCGGGCCACTCCATCCAGATCACAAAGGTAGAGGAGATTGTGGCCAGCAAGTGCCATCAGCCAGCAATCAAGTAATTCCACAACTCCAAGATCAAGTTCCCACTGTCCCATCAGGTCCTCTATCACCAGCACAAGCCACACTTCAGCACCAAGAGGACCAATCCCTTCTTCTAGGTGCAGAGCCTCTCCCCAGGTCTGCCCAAATAAACTCCATGGGAATTCCCTGGTTAAAAAAGAGATTTATTTAATAGCTTTATTTAGATTAGGTGGCACCACTGATTTGGTTCTGGTGAGGGCCTCCTTGGCTACATTACATCATGGTAGATGCCATCATTGTTGGCAAGCAGGCGGGCATGCCAGAGGGAACAATCACAGAGCAAGACAGGAAGCCAGGGAGTGGGGAAGGGTCAGGCTCACTCTTTTTATAACAAGCCCTCTTGCAGGAACTAACAAGTGTCTCACAAGAACTAATTAATCAGACTCAAGAGCAGCACCCCCAATGACCTAATTACCTTGATGTATGCTTCACCTCCTAAAGGTTTTGTCACATTGCCACACTGGAGATAAAGATTTTAACATATGAACCCTTGACACACACTTAAATCATATCCAAGCTAAAGCACAAACTGAAGGCAAAAAATAATGCTTTCCTTCTAGCCTTCTGGGTTCTTTGACTAGTCTACAAGTTAAAATGAATAAAACAGATGAACAGGAGAAAAACTATTTTTGTTATATAAGTTTACATGGGATTCCCACCAAAATATAAGACTTGAGTAAGTGGTCATATTATTAAGGCTTATATATCATCCCAAACTATAGAAAGAAATAGAGATTTAGGGGTTCTAGGGTGTTGCAGTATGGATATGGTTGGAATGTGTCCTCCAAAGGCTCATATGTCAGAAGCTTTGTCTCCAGGGTGATGACTTTGAAAGGTGGTACACCCTTTAATAGGTGAGGCCTAGTGGAAGGTAATGAAGTCATAGGGCAACACCCTTAGAAGGGATTAACACAGATCTCATGGAACTGGATTGTTTCCAGAAAAAATGGGTTTTTATAAAGCCAGTGAGCTGTCTCAATTCACTCTCTGTTTTCCTGTCTCACCATGTGATTTTTTTCATGCTTTCTCCCACCACTGTGATACCATTTGCCATGACTCTACCAGCATCAAGTAAATGCCAGCATCATGTTATTAAATTTCCCAAACTATGAGCTAAATAGAACTCTTTTCTTTATACATTACCCAGCATCAGGCATTTTGTTATAGCTACAGAAAAATGGACTAAGCCATGGGGATGTTACAAACGGATTTCGGAAAGGGGGGGGTAAAGGAAATATATGGTGAATAAAAATCACCTTGTTATACAGATAAAAGTCCCATAGGTGATAAAAATTGTCTCAGCAGTAGGTCTCTTCTAGAACAGATACATTTACTAATGAAGATTTCTCTTGTTTTTAATATTTATTCTTAAGTTTTAGGTGGACATAATATCTTTATTTTACATTTATGTGGTGCTAGGAATCGAACCCAGTGCCTCATGCATGCTAGGTGAGCACTCTACCACTGAGCCACAACCCCAGCCCCATAAAGATTTCTTTTATAAATGTAAATTTCCTTTACAAAAGAGAAAATTGTACTTTATTTTAGGCAGTTGAGAAAAGAGATATAGAACTTTTCCTGCATTAGCTGGTTATCTTTTTTTAACCTCAAAATAATCAATATGACAAAATGGCATATTTTGGGATGACTTGTTCCAAACCC